CTCGGCCGGCCCAGAGCTGCTTTTTAAGATGGTGAGACCTGAGTGTGTTTATATGTGGAGGGAAGGAGGCAGGAGAGACTGTGGGAAGATATGAAGGAGAACAGGGATGCTTTGCAGAGAGGAGGCTGCCCTTGACTGAAGAAACGGCATCTCTTCCTGGGTCCTGGAAGAGAAGGAGGGAGGGAAGGGTGAGGGAGCGTGCCAGGCGGGAAGCTGAGGAATCCAGAAGCGTGGCTTCAGTTTTCTCCGTAACAATGTCATTATCTGAGAGCAAGGTGAAGGGAGGCAGGTGGGGAAGGTGTGACATCAAGTGAAGCGGGCGCAAAGTGAGAGGGGAGCCTGGGGAGTGGGTCTGCGTCGTGGGTCCACGCGGCGCCAGCATCTGTGGATCAGAAAGGCCGCAGCCACCTACCTTCTCCGGCAGCATTTGGTTTGCGGGGAGGCAGGCAGGTGGCGCCGGGGCGACTCAGCCAGCTCCTGGGCTCATCACAGACGGAAGTGGAGGCCAGCTGGGCTGCTGGCTGAGAAGAACGTAGAGGCCAGCGTGCGAGGGGTCTGGGGAGGCTCCGCGCCAGGCGGCCGGGAGCCGTCTTCCAAGAGGCAGAAGGCCAGCCTGGGGGTCAGGGTGGGGAGTCAGTGAACGTGGCTGTTGGCAGGATTCGCTTCACAGGAAAGAAACGGCGCCGAGGGGCTCGGGCCTCTGCAGGCGGGATTGGGACGCGGGGCTGGGGACCTGCTCAGATTGGACACTGGGAGGCGGGAGATGGAGGGGGAGGCGGGCTGCTGGAGTGGAGACGAAACAAGGGCAGGCGAGGGCCGGACTGAGTGCTGGTCACTAACACGGCGACTGCTCCAAAAACTGGCTCCTGTCCCCACTCCCCACGCCTCCCTGGCCGCGGGGCCCACGGCCCCTCTGTCTTCTCTCAGGACCTGTCATCCCCCCGGAACCCGCCCCCTCAAGGCTCATCCCTTCAGGACCGTTCCCCTCCAGCACCTGCCTCCACCTCCCTCACCACCCGCACCCTCAGGAACTTTCCCCTCAGGAACTGTCACCCTCCCCCCCCATCAGGGCCAGCCCGGTACCCTGGCTCCGCCCCACCAGGGCCCCGCCCAGTACTCTAGCTCCACCCCATCAGGGCCCGCCCGGTACTCTGGCTCCGCCCCATCAGGGCCCCGCCCAGTACTCTAGCTCCANGCAGAGACGCTCTGTAAGAGATGGCGTGCGGATGGAGAGCTGCTCCACTGAAGAGACCTCGGCCCGGGTTCCCAGGGCCAGAGTGACTGCCAGGAGCACCGGAGGGGGGGCAGGCCCCCCATTGTGAGGTCCAGGTAGAATGCTCCAGCCCTGGCTGACCTCCAACCCTGTCCTCACCCCTACCTCTGACCAGGAGTGTGCCCGCTGGCTTATACCTGGACGTCGCCATCCCCTCTTGTATGAGAGCAGATGCCCCCAGAGTCTGTGGAGGTCATGAGGACACGGCCTCACTTGACTCCCAAGGTCAGGCCCACAACGTTCTGGGTAGAAAACTCTAAAAAAGGGAGTACAGTAAGGACTCAGAGACCAGAGTTCTTGGAACCTGGTGAGGACTGCAGCTGGGTTCTTGAAAGGACGACCGTTAGGAAAAGTCAAGGAGCGGAACAGCTATGGGCACAGAGGGGACACTGCCAGGGGATTTGGAAGCGGGAACTCGAATCGCCAGAAATGGAAACTCTAAGCTACAGGGAGCCAGGTGCTCAAACCAGGGATCCCCTGGGCTGGCAGTCAGAGAAAGGAAAGGCTCTGAGCACCTGGGGTCAGAAGAGTGTCCAGATGTCCCCAGGACAAACCTGACAGGCTATATCCAGGTGTGCCCAAGATCCGAAGGAAAGGGCACCTTGACCAGGAAGGAGGGTGGCAAGCTTTAATTCAGCGGCTATTCACTGGCTAGCTGCCTACACTGCATCAGGCCCTTTGCTGGGTGTTGGGGAGCCCTCACCCTCGCCCTCCACAAGGAGTGAGAGAAGCAGCGTTAAGGAGCTAACCAGCAGGAGTCAGGTGAGCACAGCGACAGAGACCACGCCTGCGGGAGGGGGGGGGGACCCCAGTTGGCAGCTATTAGCACAGCAGGCAGCGATTAGCTCGCCGTGGGTGAGAGGAAGCTTCCCAGAGTGAGCACCTGGAGAGTGAGGCTGGCTGGACAGAGCAGGGGTCAGCACATTCCGGGCTGAGGCAGGGCCTGTGCACAGGCCTGGAGGCACCGACAGCTGAGCCTGGTAGAGCAGGGGGCAAGGAGGAGAGCACAGCCTCTGACCTCACAATACCCACTGGGCCAGCCTTGCAGCTTGCAAACTCTGGTGCCCTCCTCCAGCCCCGGAAGGGCCGGGGCCCTGGGCAGCCTCCAGGTGCAGCGCCCTCCGGTGGCCGCACCCTGCCCACTGCCTGGGGCATGTCTTTACTCACCAATTACGAGGGGCTCCGGCATCAGATTGAGAGCCTTGTGCAGGAAAACGAGGAACTGAAGAAGCTGGTGCGGCTCATTCGTGAGAATCATGAGCTCAAGTCGGCAATCAAGACGCAGGCGGGTGGCCTGGGCATCAGCGGGATCACCGGTGGGCTTGGCGAGGCGGCAGCCGGCCCTTCTCAACGCCAGGGTAACTGTAATGCCTGAGTTCGAGGAGAGAAGGGGGGAAGAGGAGACAGTGTGTGCTGGGGCCTCGAGAGTCATGGGGGGCAGGGGCATAGAGAGTAACACGCCTGCAGGACAGTGCCCCCCAGGTGAGGGGAGGGTGAGGATACAGGACCACTGGGATGAAGGGGCATAACTGGGCCCCACTCCCATCCAGCTGATGGCAGGAGCCTATGTCCACACCCCTCCCCTCAGCTGAACTTCCAAGCAGCTCCACAGACCGAGAACTTCCCAGCTCTGGAACCCCAACATGCTGCCCTACTGAGTCCAAAGTGTCACCCACCTGCAGCTTCCCCACCGCTCTCGTCCGTCACCTCTCACCCTGAGCACACCTGTCCCCTTCCCATCATTCTCCACTCAGAGATGGCCTGTAGGCAATTGACAACCCAGGTCTAGAAGCCAAGGAGAGAAACTAGAACTGAAGCTTGAGGTTTGGGACTCGTGGGTGTGTGACAGGCCCTGGAGCCGGAAACGATTCAGAGTAGGGTGAGACAGAAGAATGGGGAAAGAGGTTGCAGGTGTTTGCAGACAAGGAGTTGAAGTGATCTGTGGGGTTAGACATGGACCCGAGGGACTGAGCCAGGAGGGCTCAGGGCCAGGAGGCCAGAGAGGCCACACAGCTGAGTGTGGTGACGGGAATGAGGGAGGTGCCAGAGAAATGGAAAACTGTGGGCAGAACGTGGTTGGCACTGAAGATATCAGAGGGAGAATTTCTGGGGGTGGCAAGGTCCCAGGGTGTGGCAATAGGAGTCCATGGCTGTTACAGTGTGTTGGTGACAGTTACATAGGCTAGGAGGTGACCAAATGCGTCTTGTGTTACATCCACAGCCCTCCCCCTCCTATAGCGTCCCTCCTGTCCTAGAGAAGGCTGTGTGCCCTCGTGGCCAAGGTGGACTTCTCGCATGGTCAGAGCCCACCGACCCCTGCAGCGACCTGCCCTGTCCCAGACCCTGCACCTCATTCTGCCTGCTGGGCCCCCCCTCTGTTCAGAGTCAAGTCCTTTCCTGAGAGGAGGGCTCTTCTCTTTCAGTCTCTGCCACTTAAAGCCCTCCAGCTTGGCAGTGGACACCGACACTGCTATTCTAGAAAGGTCAGAGGTGGCTTCCTAGGTGCCACATCATTCTGAACTTCTGCATTTGGGACTGTTAACCCTGCTCTTTCTGAGTCCCAAGAGCACCTTTGCCACCCCCACCCCTGCTCAACTTAGTCACTGCTGCCCCCAGTCTGGCTCAGGTCCCACCCTGCACCCCCAGCCAGCCCGTCCAACACGTGCTTCAACCCTCCACCAGCAGTAGAGGTCCCCTCAGAGGCTCCTGCAGGCCCAACAAGTCCCCAGAACTTAGCTCACTCCAACCTGGACACATTTCTGATTAAGAACTTGCCCTTCCCATCAGGACGCTAAACCCCTTGGGTCTGGGCTCCTTCCCGTACCATCCCACCTCCAACTCGAAGCCGTCTTCCGTTTGCTTTCGAAAGCTGCCCCCACCCCTGCTGCCTACCCACTGCATTCTCTGCCACCCAACCTGGCTGTGGCATGCGAAGGGTCTTCACAGTCCCCTTACTGACCACAAGTACAAAGGCCCCTCTTGTTTGAAAGGTTACACTGCTAATGACTCTGAGACGATAGTCGGGCGACATAACTAATATGCACGGGGAGGTACAACGTCTAAGAAATCTCCCATTCTAAGGAACTACTCTGGTTTCCCTACTCCCAGGCTAACTAAGCAAGCCTGCTCCTTTTAGGTTCAATTCTTAAGAGAATCCTGGGACCAGTTCTGGTTTTCCAGCTCCTGAAGGATCAAGCTTAGGGGTTAGGAAAGGCTTTGTGGAGGAGCCCAGACATCTGGTGGGGAAGGCAGCAAGGGGCATTCCAGGAGGAGATGCTTGGGCAAAGTCCTGGACCTGGGTTTGCGGCATGAGAAACATGAGTGCATGCGTGGTATGTGTGTGAGAGACGGTGTAAGTGTGGGATGGAGTGGGGGTGTGAACCACCTGGCTTGTCTCAGAGTCATTAGCAAGTGAGCATGTGATTGTGGTGTGCTAGTGTGCGGTCCATGCGTGTGTAGTGTGATGTGTGTGCCCTGTGTGGTATGTGTATGGAGTGCGTGGTGTAGGTGTGTAAGTGACTGGGCTGTGTGGTATGTGTGTCTATGAGAATGTGTGTGAGTTTGAGTGTGTGTGGTATGCTTGCCTTGAGAGCATGTTGAGTGAGTGTGGGAAAGTGTGTGTGAACGTGTGTGGTATGAGTGTGTGGGAGTGCATTATGTGTGGTGTGCATGACTGTTTTGTGAGTTGCTGTGTGATAATGTGTGAGTGTGTGTGTGAGTGAATGTGGTGAGTGTGATGCTTGTACTTCTGAGTGTACGTGGAGGGGTTTTGGGGGGGTTGTGTCTTGGGGCCAGTGAAAGGTGGACAGTGCAGCTGAGAGGTCAGTGGGGTCAGGTGCCAAGGACTGCGAATGACATGCTAAGGACGCAATAAGCAGACACTGGTCGTTTCTGACAGGGAGTAATCATGTTTGTGCTTCCAGAATGCACCTGCTGCTCCGGCTGGGGTGGCTGGGGTGACTGATGACACCACCTCGTGAGACAGCAGGACTCTATCCCCACGCCCAGCCAAGGCGGACCTCCGTAGTTAGTTGCCTCAGAGGCTCCTTCTCAGCCACTTCCTCACCTTGCCTGTTCCCCTTGCCCTTTCCTTGTGACCGGCCTTCCTCGTGGAGTCAGGCTCTTACTTTCTATTTGATCTCGTGAACTCGACCTTCAGTTGTTCTTCCTGGTCCCGCCCTTCTCTTCCCTTGTACCCTTGTGCACGGCTCTACCTCCTACACCCTCCAGTCAGAGCTCTGGCCTATCCCAATCACTTAAGGGGAACACCGGAGGAAGTGCAGCTTGGGCTTGTGGGTGCCCCCAGTGTGTGCCAGGCCCCTCGCAGTGCAAGGCTAAGCCCAGGCAGGAAGAGAAGGGGTACAGGATGAGGGCCAGAGGCCAGGGGCCAGCTCTCTCCAAGCCACCACATTCTGGCAGAGAACTCCAAGGAGTAAAAGAATCCGAAATTCAAACCTGACCTTTCAGGTTGAAGAAAACATAATTTAACGTTGTTAGCTGGTAATTTAACTGATAACTTTTAGCTATTTTCACACACAGTGTGTGGGCCTCTGTGCTCTTGCCCAGGGTGAACCTGGGAGAAGGAAATGCAGTTTTGGAGGAAAAGAGTGAGTTGTATTTTGGACAAACTGACTTTAAGACATTCACACGACATCCACGTGGAGCGTCCAGGAAGCTCAGAGGACAGGTCTGGGCTAGAGAGAAAAGACTCAAGAGTTGTTGATAATTGAAGCTGAGTGAGGGGTGAGGCCATCTGAGCAGAGAAGAGAACAGTAAGATGAGACTGAGGGACAAGTCCTGAGTCAGGACAGGTAGAGAAGCTGGCACAGGAGCATCCAGAGACACAAGGAGACCTCAAAAGTGTAACATCACAGGAGCCAAGACACAGCTGCAAAGAGGACAGCGTGTCCACAGAATAGAGGCTGAGGAGAGGTCAAGCGAAAAAAGTGCTAAAAAAAAAGTGCTAATGACTTGGTGTTAGTGACCTTGGTTAGAGTGATTTCAACCCTACCATAGGTGAGCGAGGTGAAGAGCGAGTTTACACTTAGTTCATGAAGAATGGCTTCTAAAGGGCAGTGGTAGCTGGAGGGGCATGGAGCCCAGAGCTGCTTTTTTTCTTTTTTTTTAAAGATTTTTATTGGGGAACTGGAGGAAGGGGAACAGACAAGTTGCTGTCTTTTTGTTCTTCAGTCTAGTTGTGGAGGACGTTGCTTCACTGGCCCAAGTTGGCACCATCATTGCG